GGGCGTTTTGTAAATTTTTGTTTATAGGAAGTACAGAGAACATTTCCGTCGCCAAACTCTCGTCAGTTTCGAAATTCTCGCCAATCTTCCCCCCACCCTCCCTCCCCCCCCCCCCCCTCGCCCCCCTTCCCCCGCCCCTCACGAACAATCGATCGAGGGGGAGGGGACGCGAAATTCTCAACAATTTCGTAACTCCCCCCCTTGCCCCCTCCTCCCCCGCTCCCTCCACAGACAAGCAATCGAGGGGGCAGGGGAGGCGAAATTCTCGCCAATTTCGTAAGTTCCCCCCTTCCCTTCCCCCTCCCCCCCCCCCCTCTCTCTCACAAACAATCGATCGAGGGGGGAAGGAGGCGAAATTTGTGTGCCTCACAAATGACGCCAACTCAGCGTCACCTGAGAGGCAGATAACACTCGCGCCACCTGTCATCCCCCATCATTTCTCACCTGCCACCTGCGCTGAAAAAACACACGTGCACACCACACAATCAACACTTGTCAACCACCTGTCATATCGACTTCCTCTATTCTGACCCAACCAGTTTACCTATGCAAAAACTACCTAAACCCAACCAAACCACATCACTACCCATCTTGGTTCAAAACTGAATGCATTTAACTTGAGTCGACTCTTGTTGCCCACACTCATTCTCCATTCTATTATACCTTTTCTATTTTTGTGTCTGCCAAGTTTCTTCCTTAGGTTCCTCGTAACTCATATTCCACGTCTAGTTGTGTTTGCACTCGTTTTTCACTGTCCCGTAGATGTTAAGCGTCTGATGAGCCTTTTATAGTTTCATAACGATTCTCAGTTCTTCTGCTAGTTGTTTTGTCCCCAAAACAGAAACACGTATTTACTACTTAGTTACCACCGTTGAAACACCGCTATGTTCAAGTAATAGCTTCACTTGTACGATTCCTGATGTATCTCACTGTATGTGTTGCTCCTGTTAATGACTACCTGGTTTTATGTGTGTCGCCTTCCATCGACCGTTTGATGATGGTCTAATTATGCACGGTTCTACACTTCTTTTATATTTTACATCTTTGTTGCAGTGGATGATGATTCTCACGAAGGGCCAAGTGTTCCTCTTCAGTCTGGCATCAATGAAGGTACGTCATGCAAATGTGAAGCATAATTTTTACGAAGTGTCGTTGCAGTGCTTTTTAGGTCGTCTAGGTTTCGTTACCCACTTGATGATCTTCCTATCCGTCATTGGATGTTGAGATATTATTGACATTGTTAATTTCTATGTCTTTTAAACTTATGCAAAATCCTCTGCAGCTTTTGTTTTTGTGTGTGGGCAGTTGAACATTAGCCTTCTTAACTGTCATTTTGTTATTTCTTGTTGCAGGGGTATAATGTCATAACCAGCTCCCTGGTTTGTACATGCTTTCCCGTTTTCTCCAGCAGAAGTCATTTTCCAAGTGAACTTCCTCTTTACTATGGCTATTTGTTGATTGTGTCAAATGCAGATGCGCTGGTTTAATTACATTTGTGGATTATACTATTGGGGAAAGTTATACAGCTGTCTGTTTTAACTAACATTGTGATTCAAGTATAGTTGTTGAACATGTTATGCAATAAACGCTAAAACGAATTTACAGAGGGACTTAAAGCTGAACTGCATGTGCTCCAATCACAACATGTAGCATCCCAAAAGTATAATCAGCCCCCACAAAGCGCTAGGCAGAACAGTGAATGTCCCCAAACTGTCTTTTTGTCCCATGCGGAACAGTAAATGTCCCCAAAATGTTCACATGCGTCTCTCAAGGGTCTTCGGGGATGGTTCAAAAGAGTCTTGGCGGACAGTTTCGGGACTCCCAAATCTGTCACGTAGTTGTTCCTGAAAGACACTCATGGGATGGTGGTGAAAAGTGTCCCGAAAGCCTCTCGCGGGATTGTTTCAGGATGCTTTTGGGAGCTGGGATTTTTTAGATGCGGAAGCCTGTACACAGACGGGATAACCGGGTTTGCAGAAGAGGAACCCGGTGTACCAGAAGGGGGACCCGGAGCACCGGAAAAGGGAAACCCGGTGCGATGTGAACAGGACAGGAACAGTTACTGTGCGAAATGCGCCTGAAAATCGCTCAAATTCGGAGAACAGAAATACACCCGCGTTCTCATTAGAATGGTTTCGGGTGTACAAATAGGACGGCTTGTTGTCCCCACATACAGTAAGGTATTTAGAATGCACTTAAGCCTGCAGTCGGAATGGTATTTTTTCATATATCTTGTACTTGGAATATTATTGCCACAACCCTGGAAAAGGACAAGAAAAGTTGAACCATATTCCTACAAAGCTGAGACGGTACTTGAATACAGACACATTTTTTTCAGACTTTGGTTCAATCCATTTCAGTGCGGTGGAATGTGGTTATATACGTGTGTTTCAGTGCAGTGCAGCGCAAGTCCCACGAGAGGTTTGTTTGGTACCGTAAGAGGCCTCACGAACACGCCTGACTGTCTAGCTGCAGATATAGTAACAGCAGGACGGAAATCCCTGCACCAAGTGCGGTAAAACACGATAAAACGCCCGAATCGGGAGATCTTTCTGGGCACCCCAAAGGGCAGCAACGAAAGCTTTTGTAGCAGTGGAGAGGAGGGGAGGTCAAAAGACGGGGTGTGGGGAATGTGAGGGGTGAGATTGAGTGCGGGAAGGAGGAGATGGAGAGTGGTTGCTGCCATGTGGATGGTGGAGGGGAGAGAGGTGAGATCGGTAGGGGGTTGTGGGGCATGTGTGGGGGAGTTGAGGTGGAGTGCGGGGAGGAGGAGGTAGGTGAGCGGTTGCTGCCATTAGGGAAACATAGGGCGCAGGTGAGCATGGTGGATAGGAGAGAGGTGAGATTGGCTGGGGGGTTGTGGGGCATGTGGGGGATGAGGTGACCGAGGTAGAATGCGGGGAGGAGGGGGTAGACATGGTTGCGGGGCATAAGCACAACACAGTTGCAGCTGGGGTTGGTGGGGAGGAGGGAGGTGGGATCGGCAGGGGGGCTGGTGTGGGGCATTTGAGGGGTGAGGTGACTGTGGTAGAATGCGGGGAGGAGGGGGTAGAGAGTGTTGCTTTGCTGCCATAAGGGCAACATGGGTGCAGCTGATGGTTTTTTAGGCGCCTCAAAATACTATTTCATTTCGCCCTAAAAACCGAGTGCGGGGACGAGGAGGAGGTAGAGAGTGTTGCTTTGCTGCCATTAGGGCAACATGGGTGCAGCTGGGGGTGGTATAGAGGAGGGAGGTGAGGTTGGCAGAGGGATTGTGGGGCATTTGAGAGGTGAGGTTGAGTGCAATGAGGTTTTTGAAGCGCATCAGATGTTGGAGGAGGTAGAGAGTGGTTATGGTCCTTAGGGCAACACAGGTGTAGCTGACGAGGAAGAGAGGGGAGAGGAGTGAGATGGGCAGGGAGGCTGTGGGGCATGTGAGGAGTGAGGTGAGCAAGGCTAACGTGCATGCCACAGCTGCCGCAATGGTGGTGATACTGATTCCAGGAAATGAATATGATGCAGATAGGCACACGGTACTCACAAGGGGCAGGGGCAGGGCAGTGGCGGTGGCGGGGCAGTGGCGGTGGCGGGGCAGGGCAGTGGCGGTCCAGCGTCCATATTGATAACACACGGGCAGCCACAGCTGCCGCTAGATATGAGCATCGAACCGAACTTAAGTTCGGTTCGAGTTATCTCGAACCGAACTTTTTTTTCCACGAAAAAGTTTTGAGCAAACCTCGAAAAAGTTCGCGCGAACAGTTCGCGCAAACTTTTCCGGTTCGAGAAGGTTTGAGGTTCGAAAGGGTCAAATTCGAACCGCGAGGGGTTCGAAGTAAATTAACCCAGAAAGAATACGCTCGCGACTTTCCTGTCCAAAACGGGAAAGTCGTACGTTGGCTGCCAGTTGAAGGCAGCCAACCCTAAGGTCGCGGTCCTGGGGTGTCCTGGGACATGCTGACCTGGAAAGTCACGGTATTGGTGTAGGCAAACGTATGCCATTCGTCGGTGGGGCAGACCTGGCCTACTGTACAACTGTACTCGAGGACCAATGAAATTAGTGCGCGATCGAGCATCTGCGACCACCTGGGTGTTGGGTCGTGCAAAAATGTCGCAGGACTGTACATTGGCAGCCCAGCGACGTGTTGTGTGGGCGTTCGTGTTGCAAGCACGTGGTCCCAACGTGTGAGGGGTCCGGAGTTGAGGTGTCCTGGACACCCCAGGACCGCGATCTAATCTCGTAGCAGAGTAGATATCGAGATCTAGATCAACTCTAGCTCACCCAATGCCTCCCTCCCCACTACCGTTCTTTCACCTCAGCTCCAACTTAGGATGTGTCAAACCTTAACTTGTTTGTTAGGTTTGACAGTTTAGCGATGCTGTCCATAAACCATTAGACATGCATGTGTAGTAGAATAACATGTGCAAAACCTCAAACATGAAAATGTTCGAGTTCGCTCAAACCTTAGAAGGTTTGAGCAAACCTTTAGGGTTCGCCATTGTATACTCAAATCTCAAACCTTAAAAGTCTGAAATAAGTTTGAGCAAAGCTGTTCGATTCGGTTCGACCAACATGCGAGGTTCGAAAAGGTTTGCGCAAACATGTTTGAGTTCGGTTCGTGCTCATATCTAGCTGCTGCAGTGGTGCTGATGCTGATTCCAGGGAATGAATATGATGCAGATAGGCACACGGTACTCGTGAAGGAGACAAGGAGGAGCAGAGGAAGGAGGGAAGCAGGGGAGCTTTCATCTGATCACCCACTTCGTAATTTCAAGCTTACCTGCTGATATGGTTGGCATGCCCGCAGAGACAAAAGTTAGAGCAGAGCAGACGAGGTTAGAAAAGATATCGAGGGAGAGGAGGAGAATGATGAGTGGGATGAAAAACGGTCTGGTCTGGTCTAGGGTAAGTATCACATAAATTATCAGAATACATACCACATAAACCACCAAGACTACACTTTCAGCATCTCCGTCTCCACCCATATCGTTAACTTATTGCCGCTCATGCCTGTCCCAGCATCTTACTCCTCTTCCTCCCCCCCCTCCTCCTCCTCCTCCTCCTCCTCCTCCTCCTCCTCCTCCTCCTCCTCCTCCTCCTCCTCCTCCTCCTCCTCCTCCCCCTCCTCCTCCGCCTCTTCTTCTTCTTCCTCCTCCTCCTCCTCTTCCTCCTCCTCCTCTTCCTCCTCCCCCTCCTCCTCCCCCACCTCTTCCTCCTCGTCCTCCTCCTCCTCTACCGACTCCTCGTCCACATCACACTCCGCCGAGACTAGAGAGTCAAGGCTGTCCTCTGCTGCCACCTCCAGCCCCCCTCCAGAACATTCATCTGATTACCCCTCCTCCTCCTCGTCCTCCTCCTTGTCCTCCTCCTCCTCGTCCCCCTCCTCCTCTGCTGACTCCTCGTCCACATCATACTCCTCCTCTTCCTCCTCTTCCTCCTCTTCCTCATCATCATCATCATACTCAGCAGAGGCTGGAGAGTCAAGGCTGTCCTCTGCTGCGGCCTCCAGCCCCCCTCCAGAACCGTCCCCCCTGTTTTGCACTGCCGGCCAGTTATGCGCAATGTATGCCAAATCGCGACACTTTTTGAAACCCAAAGTCTTGCGTCGGCTAGTGCGTACGGAATCCCACTCAGTCCAGTTCCAATCGCATGTCGCTGCAGACACGGGCTGAGAGAGAGTGCGGCATGCAAGGGCCGTGATCTCAGGGTGGTCAGAGCCATGTGTTGTCCACCACTGCACCATGCCCAGCTTCCCTTCCTTCACTGCATCCCGCTCAGCCTGTGCGTCACACGAGTGAAACCTACCTTGAATCGTATCCCCGAATGCAGAAAAACCGTCCACCAGGGCCGAATAAGACCTTCTCTCCACTCGCTCACTAGCAGGGTTAAAAATACTGTTCAGCAGGGCTGAAAGTGTCCAGTTTCGCGCAAGGAATTTGCAGTGGCTGTTAACATAGGCCTTGAAGTCCCTTGATATCTCCGGGTCCCTACCGAAAATCTCACGATCCTGGTTGGCCGGATTGAGGATCTGGCCCACCACGTGCAAAGTACTTGCAAAGCTCCCGTGCCACCGCTCCTTCACAAGCCTCAAGATTCCATCCTTCTCCGCATCACTCAACAACTCCCCATCTCCCTTCAGCAAACCATCCACATCTTGTGTCAATTGCCACATCATGTCATACATCCGACCCATCATTGCCTTGGCGCTCGAATCAACTGCCTGCATCACCACATACACCAGCTTCATCAGCTTCACGAAGAACTCAGCAGCCTTCCACCACGTCTCGTCCCTGACAAACGCGGCGAATTCCTCCGCCTCCGCCTTCTGCCTTGTCCCCATAACCCACACCCTCCAATCATTGCTCATCACCATCCGCGTCAGCTGTGGCCGAAGCTCACAAAGGCTGGACACAGCAACATACGGTTTTCCGAACCTTGCGTTTCACGACCTCAACACTTGCAGCAGCTTCCCATCGGGCTGCCCTATGCTCTTCAGGTAATAACGGATAATGTCGCCGTGGTTGCGGAGAAACCCAATCGGCTCATCCGTCAAGTCAACCACCCGTTTGGCCCATGCCATCTTCCCTATGTCTTCCATCATCCGATTCAACGCATGCACAGCGGAAGGAACGTACTCAATGTGCGGCCACTCGCGCATCAATTCTCGGCAAGCACCTGCGTAGCCACTCCCGCCGTCTATGCAGAGAGCAACGATGTTCTCGGGCCTGACTTTTTCCACAATGGGCCGTAGGATTCTGCGAATGTAGTCGGATGTCTCAGCCTCCATACTGCAGTCCTCTTTCCTGCAATCGTCCTTACTGCGGCCCTCCATACTACAGTACATGCTGCAGTCCATGCTCTCCATGAACACGCGTCCAGAGTCGTTGACAAGCCACACGTTGGCTTACGACCGGTCGCGCTTGTCAGTCATCGTGTCAATCGCGAGGGTGACACCATGCCGCTTCCAGCTCGCTGCAACGGGCTCCAACTCCTGCTCGATCAATGCTCGGGACTGCTTCAGTCCAGAGCCACCGATGTGGCGGCGATCGGGAGGGATGTAGCTGGAGGGATGTAGCTGCTTCCCGCACGTGCAATGGCTTGCACCGCGTTGCGCCAAAGCGGGTGATCAGCATGCTGTGCAGGAATGCAGAGGCCGGCGTAGAGGAGGGAGATCGCCTCATCCGCCGCGTTTTTTGCACTTAACTTGTCGTTTTCAGAGAACACACTCATGCGGCTCCTCTTGGCGCCTCCATTCACCGTGCTGTAGGACGTGGTCTCCACCCTTTCCGTATCTTCTTCCTGAGCGGCCTGGTTTTGTCATTGACGTCATCCATAAAGAGGAAGTGGGTGGGAGTGGGAGAGGCAAGGTGTGAGGCTGTAGGGGGAATTGGGGCCGAGGCTGCAGGGGGGATTGAGACCAAGGCCGAGGCTGCAGGGGGGATTGAGACCAAGGCCGAGGCTGCAGGGGGGATTGAGACCAAGGCCGAGGCTGCAGGGGGGGTTGAGACCAAGGCCGAGGCTGCAGGGGGGGTTGAGACCAAGGCCGAGGCTGCAGGGGGGGTTGAGACCAAGGCCGAGGCTGCAGGGGGGGTTGAGACCAAGGCCGAGGCTGCAGGGGGGCTTGAGACCAAGGCCGAGGCTGCTGGGGGGATTGAGACCAAGGCCGAGGCTGCAGGGGGGGTTGAGACCAAGGCCGAGGCTGCTGGGGGGATTGAGACCAAGGCCGAGGCTGCAGGGGGGATTGAGACCAAGGCCGAGGCTGCAGGGGGGATTGAGACCAAGGCCGAGGCTGCAGGGGGGATTGAGACCAAGGCCGAGGCTGCAGGGGGGATTGAGACCAAGGCCGAGGCTGCAGGGGGGTGGGAGCATGAGATAAGGGGTGAAGCTGTAGGGAAGGATGAAGAGCTGAGGGTGAGGCTGTTGCATGGGGGACTGGGATGGGGAAAGGAGGGGCGAGGCCTCAGAAGAAAATGAGATGAGGAAAGGAGCGGTGATGCTTCAGAGGGAAAAGAGATGTAGAGAGGAGGGGTGCAGCTGCAGGGGAATGAGATGCAGAGAGGAGGGGTGCGGCTGCAGGGGAATGAGATGCAGAGAGGAGGGGTGCGGCTGCAGGGGAATGAGATGCAGAGAGGAGGGGTGCGGCTGCAGGGGAATGAGATGCAGAGAGGAGGGGTGCGGCTGCAGGGGAATGAGATGAGAGAGGAATGGGACATCGCGAAATTCCGAGTTTGCACAAAATGTACACGGTAGCTTTTCCTGCGGGAAACCTTCGGAAAAGCTTCGGAAAAGCTTCGGCGCGCACATTTACAGCTGAGTGGCCAAAGTGACATTGCAGCAACAACTCTGAAGTGTCTCCAACGCTACTTTGCAGTTACAATTGTGACTTCAATTTATCAAGTTCACCAGTGATCCCGGCCATATCCCACTTCTGTATCAAAACAACGTGATTACTCCATGATTGGGTCCACACTTAGGGCCATCTTGTTATTCATATCGCAATGCGTTCAAATCCATCAGTCGATGAGTGCAAACGTATTGAGTAGCCTGACTCTAGGATTAGTAAAGGACTTGCACACGTGGACAATGCGCTCGATCGATGCAACTTCAATGATCCCGTGCGTGGCCTCCTTCCGCCCCGGCACCAGTTGGGGGCAAAGTGTCTGGGGACACACCCCCTCCTCCTCGTAATACTTCACGAATACATATGCACCTTCCTCCCCGCTGTAGTTCACCGCCCTGAAAATACAAAGACACCGCGCATACCACCACTCCTCCTCCTCCTCCTCCTCCTCCCTCTCTCCCGGTATTGCAATGTCGGTGAACCAGTTCTCCTTCGGGCTTGCTTTCACGAACATCGCCTTCGGAACCAAGTACCCCCCTTTCGTGCTAGGGATGGCCACTGCGGTGTGCACCTGCCGGGTATGGGTGGGTTTGCATGAGGACCAACACATTGTACGATGACGCCTCTTCACGTACGTGTCCAAGACACAACGGCCCACCCCCCTTTACAACCGAAGCCAACAGCTTGATTACCGAGTTACTAACATGACACTGCATCTCACAAACACACGTGAAGTCTGAAGGCCTTCCGTGGCCATGAGTGTCGCCATGTTGTCAAACTCGCTGCCCACCGTCTCCCTGTACACCATCCGCAGTGGATCGTCTGCCGCCATGAGACACATGGCCTTGCTGGTGCGGGTCAGCGCGGGCTTCATGCTGCACACAGCCTGAGGGGTGGGTTGTGAGCACGCATGGGATGAACCGGTGGTGTCATTGATTCCAAACTCTTCGCATACCTGCGTGCCTTTAACAAATGCCACCAACACTACACGGCGACGCGTTGTGTACCTCTCGCAGGGCGGTGTAGTAAGTTCTCCCTCCTCCTGACAGCGCTGCAATCTCCCGAGTGATCTCGCGTTGCGTCTCCTCCTCGACAATCCTCCTTGGTATGTCTTTCCAGTTGCTTCCGCGCACGGGGCCCTTGTGGGTATGCTCCCACAGCTCCGTGGAATACTCGTGCGGCAAACCCCTCATGGATATGCCGTTGATGAGGTGCACAACTTCGTGGAGCTTCACAAAGTTCCAATTCGACTTCTGCCTCGGGAAAGCCGCCTGCAGTGCAGCCACCAGTCTACACGGAGGTGTATGCACATTGTAATGCGAACATTGAAAGAATCACCACAGTGTACAACATGGCCAATTGTAGCACCAAAACACGTGGCCATCATGTTCACTCACGAGATGCCATGCTGCCTCGCGATGGCGATTGTGAGCCGCGTGTGCTTGGTCACAGCCAGCAGGGACTTGTAGAAGACCGCATAGTAGCGGAAGGCACGAACCTCCTTATCCCTCTGGTCCCTTTCCTCCGCAGAGCGCCCCACACACAGGTCGGAAATGACAATAGGGAAAACCTGCATCATGCCACGATACTCGAACGCCGCGTAATTCGCCCCGCTGCGGAAAAAGGTGGAGCCACACGGGATGCGCACCAAGACACTCCTTGTCTCGCCCTTCACGCCAAACTTGTGGCTGTTCCACGCACCAATCACACACAAGCAACGAGATTCGATTGTTCCCGTGGTGAGATCCGCCACGTACGCACTACCGCATACAAAACAGTTCACGGAATCTCCGTGTACTCACTGATCAAACCCCCGAATCTCGGCCTTCGTCTTCCCCTCCATGAAACAGGTGGCCATATGCACCAGCACCCCGGAATCCAGCACATGCAATATGTCGCCAACAACCGCCAGGAAGACGTTACCCCACTTCGTCTCAAAGAAGTTCCAGCGCTCCAGAACGCTCTGCACGTTGGATGGTGCTGTCAGAGTCATCATAAAAAGCAACATCATGCCGGTACAATCATGGCCGCGGCCATGTGACTTGCCACACACAAACATCGAACGCGCACCGTGATCGGATGCGTTGACCACCTGGCCTGGATCGATGCAGCGTCTTCCACCTTCGTAGCGCTCAGTATCTTCGCCGCCGCGTGCCGCTCTCCCTTCACAGTGCGCACTATTGACTGGTTTGACAGGTCATGTAGGTGCGCCCTCTTGATGTAGCAGCTCGAGCACGGTCTGTGCGACGCCTGCTGCATCGTTGCTGTGGCCCAGCACCCTTCCGGATAGTCGCCAACAAATGCATAGAGGCATGGATATGCCTTGACCACACCTCCGCGGCCGTCTGACACATCGAAGACTCGAAGAGGACCACTGCATGCACCACGTACATGTTTGATGGGTCTCAGAAACCGACAATGACCCCGTTCGCCTCCAACAGCCTAGAGCATGCATTCGGACCACTTACTCGCGGCTCTCACGCATCAGCGGACCCATCACGATGCGATACGCCTCCTGATACACCCGCGTCTTCTCCGTCGCCGATGCCCACTCTGGCGGAAAAGGGAGCACACCCACTAGCGCGTGCCCAGGCTCACGCCACCGTAACTCCTCCGGGACATTGACCAAACCCATCAACATTGGCCATGCCTGTAGGCGTCCGTTCCCCGACGCGTAAGTGTTGTCGCTGTACGAGATGACACCCAGCACCATAGAATCCTCCTCCGGCAGTTCCGCCTGACAACGACACAAGGCGACCAAAAGAGTCAGACCAACTCACATCAGAGCCCCATGTGACGCTTGGGAACATTTGCCTCTACTTGCCTGCGCCTCTTCCAGCCAAGTCCCTGTGTCGGGCGTACTGAAATGTCTTGTGTCCGCCGTATCTTCCGGATCTCGCCGCGGCCGTTTGACAAATCCCCTCACATTCACGAATGTCTTCACCATCTTCTGCGCAATCTGTCCACACGGAGGCGCGGGAAGCCTGTGTATAGACGGTGCATAAACAGACATACACTCGCCGACTCCGTGCAGCACCAACCATCAATCGCTCACCAGCTTGGTGTCCTTGTACTGCAGTTCCAGCATCTGAGACCTTCCTCCGGGGCCCCGCACCTCAATCTCTGCCTTGAGCCACGGCACCATGTCGTCCGGCGCGTGTTCCTCCCCAAACCGCCTCACGTCGGCGACGTTCTGCCAGCGCCGAACCGCTGCAGGATCGTATCCCGGGTGGTTGAATATGTGCAACACTCTATTTATTTCTCTGTCCGACAAATCAGCGTCCTTGAAGAACATGTACAGCTCGTTCAGAGTGTTGAACAGGTCGCCAACTGTGGATACAGATCCATCGTCCGACGTCGACACGTACCCGCGCACAAAATCCGCGTGCTCGGGAAACTCTCTCAAATATCTGAACAGCGAGTCGGCGGAGTGGGGGCTGCCCGGGACTGACTCACTGTCCGAATGATGCGTGCTATTTCTCACCTCGGCCAAAGCCTCCGCCAACGCCTCCACCGCCCTACTCTCGAGCCTCTCGAGCAGCGTGTCCCTGCACGTGTCATTGCGATACAGATGGATTCTCAGTAGGTTGTCTGACTCCAGCTCCTGCCCGCACGCCCCGCACCTGTTCCCTGCCATGTGTCTTAATCTGCGCACACACCCAATGGCCGTTCCCTGACTTCCCCTCTAATTCCCGTTAGCCAACCATTACCGTCATGCATGTTCTCCACTACACGCAGTACCACCTATGCTGTTTTTGAGCCGCGCACGCCCTGCATCCTACCACCGAAACTCCGTACACTACGTCTCGCGCACCGCAGACCGTTCTATTACTCCAGTTACTAATACTGCATGTTCGGAACATGGGTCCTCCGCCTACGTCACCCCATTATCACAGCTGCTATAATGGCTCGTCAAATACATCGTGCACGCACAAAAGGGCGGAGAGTCCGGGCGGGCGGCCTTATCCGTAACGAGAAACCCTAACCGGCTGAAATGCATGCGGTAAGAAATCCCTTCGTGAAGTATGCACTTGCTTGGTTCAGGCGCGGTGGTTACACCACGAGGTGGGAATATACTCGATACAGCAAAACATAGAAGATCAATGTTCAAACACCGTCTGTGATTTCCGATGGACTATCTCGCATCCTTGCCAGACATAAACGGTGAATTATTACAACAATTGTCCACACCCCTACGAAACCTATGCCAATGCATTTTTCCACATGTGTCACACAAAACCACAATGGCATACTTAAAATCTAATACATAAGCGGGTTCAGGGCAACTACATGCATTCCAAGTATGGCATGATTTACCTTCCGGCCATATGGGGGTAAACTTATCAGTAATAGCTGCCACGGTGGTCACGCCGACTACGACGTCGCCGCATGAGACGATCAAGTACATCTAACAGGAACAACGCTCCATCAATATTGGTGGTCCTGGTACCATCTGCCATAAGGGCACAAAGACAAGTCGTGAGGCAATGTGAAGCATCGGCCACGGCAAATAACAGGACGGCCCTTACCTCCGGGGTCCTCGACGTGCGTACGCCTCCGCCTCTCGCGGCGCCGCCCATACTCGTGTGTACGTTCATCTGGGCATCCTATGGGACATGTACGCAACGCAGCGCAGCGCGAGGTAAATAACGTGCAACAGGGCTCCCACAAGTGGCAGCACGCAGTCAAGCAATTCATGTTGTTTGGTACTCACCTGTCTGTGACCGGACGTGCCTCGTAGGAGTAGCGGCGCTAGACACGCAAGTACCCGGGGCCCTGTACGCCGAGCTAGACCTGGAGGGGTTTGGAGGGTCTGACTCTCCCGTCTCAACGGGCACATTATTCGCGTCGCCCCTGTTGCCAGGGAAGAAGGAGTCGAAGAAATCATTCACGCGGGTAGAACCTTCGCGTGAATCGGCCGGTGGATCTTCGCGCTCCGCACCCGCGGCTATTTCCTCAATCTGCATCCTCTCCCAGCTACTAGGTACCGAGTGTGCAGCATCTACATTCCCCCCAGCTGATATCGTGGGCTGTTCGTTCTTCACAGGTCCCGTAATTGACTGCGTAGCCCCCGCGACTCCATCCTCCGTTTCGTCGTCAGATGAGTCTACCACCGGCTGTCGGCCATTACCGGTGTGTGGCTCGGGTGTAACAGTCACAATGACGGTTTTATCTCGACGGATGTCGGCACCCGCGTTTATATCACCACACGCTGGCGGTCCCTGCATACGAGTGCCATCTCGATCAAAGCTACCACCGAGTAGCTTGTTGATGTGACGCGCCGCTACCTCTGTGTCGTTGCTGCTAGGGGAGGCCATACCGGGCATAAGGTTAGGGTTTGAGCGAATAGCCACACAGTGCTAAATGACTCCTTGTATCTGCCTCCCAAACACCGAAGCCACTTCGGAAGCCATTTCCGTCCGCGATATCGCCGCCAAAATCTCGCCGTTTGACCTTGTACACCCGATTGATTTACGGTGTGTGTTACACGACATGTACAAAGAAGCTCGATAGTGTGAACGGCCCTGAAAACTGCTTCTCTTTGATGTTTACATGATACATCAAATCTCAAACTGGCTACATCTGCAAGTATTTCAACGTTTCCACGGCACATTCTAATCCCGTTCCGTAACAACCTATGCCCACGCGCCGATAAGTCAAAAGGCCCTGTCTACCGGGTGGCGTTATACTTTACTAGGCGAACGTAGGCACAATCAATAGTCTTGGATGAGGTGCCCGTCATGGACTCTTCTTGCATGGGCTTAGTAGATACCTTGGACCACCAGGGTATCATCCCCAGAGCACGACTGAGATCCCCGATGCGCACTCCTTCGTCCATGTCCTTCCACTCCTTGGGCCTGTGCACCTGAAACATGCTTCATCTAGGTTTAGCGTAGGACATGCAGGCACCACAACACACACCGTCCTTTGTAAGGGCATCAACGGAACAATATATATGGCGTACAATGGATGAGGTGCCACCTCCCGTGCATATGTCTCTTGAGTGAGGTGCCAAAATCCTGGACCCATCGGACCGATGTCTCTCCTCCTGCACACCAGATAAACATCCCACACCTTTCAATGGCCATCGGAAACACACCCAGTCGGCACGCCAACGATCCTCACCTCATATCCCATCGCCCTCGCCTCGGCCATTAGAACGACTCTGTAGTCAAATGTCGGTAACCCCGGCAGTATGACATCCTCGAGGCTTGTTGCGCTGTGATTTACGAGTCTGCAATCCGCTATTGACGTCATAAACCGTCGATCTTTGGCACGTGTAATGCTCGACTCCGACTCGTCCGGATACGTGGCGTATATGAGCCTCAGGTACATGAACGGTGTGGGTGCATCGGGTGTTATTGCAAGAGACGCACGGGCTTCTGAAATCGCGCGCGCCCTGTGCTGTCTAGGACTGCGCCTTCCACTACCCAGGAATGGGTCCAGAGACCTCAGAATCGTGGTCGCGCTAAGGGTCTCACCTCGTTGTGACATTATGGCACCGTGCACCTGCATTATGGCGTAGGCTATAGTGGGCTTAGACCGTATGAAATAACCCCGGGTGTTGCGCCGACGAGGCTCCAGCACGTCGCGCGCTTTACAAAGCGTTGCGCTCATCATGCCACTACCAACTAAAATCAGGAACTTTAGGCGGACGTTAGGGTTTTGTAAGTGTCCCGAGCTGAGGGAATCGAGGAACGGGCTGCTGGGACGCTATGAAGCGGTGTGGAGTGGTTTGTGGAGTGTTGGCACGCTTTCATGGTCAACTGGGTGTACCGAGCACAAACTGCAAAATTAGTTCGCGCTTTCTTCAGATTGTGCCATATTGGGGATGTGAACATCATACTCGCTCTCGGATTGAGCGTGGAAATCCCTATATCCCCAACGTGAACAATCTCGTTACGTGCACAATGATTGATGATGTGCTTATTATTCGACAAATACAACGGTTATTGAGATCAATACAACCATCAGTTACTACATCCCATACTCAATATCCCCATGCACGCTAGACAGGGATGCCGTTGGGGAGTTGAGGCATATCTCCTCGCTGGCCGTGGAAGACATGGACGAGGAAGGCGCGTATGAATGCCTCCTAACCTTCTTCTCTGGTGTGCGCAGCAGTCGGTCAACGAGGTCCGGGTTCCCCAAGCGCTTAAGCGTGACGACGACACTCGGAGCTACTCCCGTCGCGCTAGCAAGCCTTGTGTACGCATCAGATGCCATACGCATGAACCGGCGGCGAGTCCTGTCGTCCCATGAGACGCGGCCGACACTGCTTGAATCATCAATCCGACGGATGACCGGGTCAAGAACACGTTCGGCCGTATCCTCGTCCATGGTGTCATCCCAAGTCGCGTAGTCCAATGCTTCCATCACGCTGTCGGGGATGTCCAACTTGTCCAGCCTCCTCTGCAGGCCCGTGAGGCTAGCGACGAGCTGCCCCACAACATGCAGGTCGCGGTTGATCGCGTGAAGCCGAGGCAGCCACTCGTCCGGGACGCACCCAGTGCGCCAAAACGCGAGCTGAATGTGAGATGTCGCCACCCCCCACAGTGCCTCGTATGTCCACTGCAACGTGTTCGCGGCCGATGGAGAGTTGCTGGTCCACACCCAAGCTGGAGGCACGCGCGTCATGAAGCGAGTCTGATGGTCCACCCACATTATGCGGAATTCGGACCTGAAGAACGTGACAATGCCCTGCACGACGGGGTTCCCCACGTCTGGTACAGTATCATGAAGCTGCACAATGCGAGTATGGGTTAGGTGGTGCACCATGAAGGGCCCACTCGGCTCTCGCTTGCCCTCTCCCCAAGTGAGCTTGTGCCTACGCGAGGACACAAGGACGACGATGTCACGGTCCTCTGCAAATTTCGCAGCGTTGAGGCCTAGCATGAACTGCGTGAAAAGCTGCACGTAACAACATAGAGTATCACAGAGACATTTATTGAGCACCAACGTCTTGAGTCCATATATAGGAAACATTTTTGCGTGTCATCTCTAGTACATTTCGCCATTACCTCGGGGGTTATGCGGCCGGACCGAGTACGGCGTATATATGCCCACTCGTCGCCACTGGCATCGGAGCCCAGCCTCAGTGGCTCCCGATCGCGGCTCACTACAATGGGCCTGAAGCGATGCGCGCCGTCTGCGGAATAGAGAAGGCCGATAGACAGCCTCTTCATATCATTCCCATTGCGCCCGACGAACGGATGCAGGTATGGCTGCAGAGCAGGTAGGAGAGAAACCTCTACAAATATGTAGACGTCGCTGGGAGGTGCGCCAAGGCGCGACAAGAGATCCTTTAGAGCGGCCATGGAAGTAAAGTGGCGTCTGCTACACCTGGCGGCATATGATATAGCCGGTAGGTTTGGCGGGTACAGCGTCCAATGTAGCTGCTAATTGACAATGAGTGAGTCTAGCTTCTGAAAAGCATCGGCGCCAGTTGGCCACTCCCTCTTTGCCCTGACAGGCGTGGATTGGCCACAGAAGCTACTGATTGCGCAATGACGTGGGTACACCTCATAGGCTACCACAGTTGTGCGCGCTTGAAACCACATGTTTGTGCCCTAAAAGCTAATCTGTTAGTGACCTTTCCGTACCCTGTATAGTATATGCCCGGGCCAGTTGGGGTTC